TAATGAATATTAATTATTATTCATTAAAAGCCAATCAATTAAAAATGAAAACTGTTGCCAACGCGAGAAAAGAAATATCATCGGTTTTACTGATACATACGTATTAGCGTTTTATATAATATAGATAATAGATTGAGTAGATGGTGCAATGCTTGGCAATTATTGCATCTTTTCATTAAGAACAATTATTAAAGCTTATATCCTAAAAATGATCACAAAATAGAAAGAATTAGAAATGTATGTTTCATTGCGTTGTGCTCAGGGAACAATTTTTTCCCCACAAAGTTTGGAACTTAGTTAAAAAATTCTCCAAAAGATGGCCTTGCTGCCTAAAAGAAATGTTTCTTATTATATTAAGCTATAATGTAGCGAGCAATGTGACTGCAAAATGAGCGAACGACCGTACATTCATTTTAGTTGGAATGTCTTTAGTTTCGTTTGTCATTTATTTCTAGTACGTTAATTTGTCATTGATTTGTAGTTTCGTTTGTCATTGATTTGTAGTAATCAGTAGTATAGTCTGTTGACAAACTTAGCTGCTAACTAATAACTTTATCTCGAAGAAATTCCCATTTTTTAAGTAGAATAACGTGAACCTTAATTTCCACATTCTTTCGTTCCTTTTTAATTCATGTTTTTAAATCTTCGAATATTTTTGACTTTCAACACTAAAATTGCCGCATTTTTCAAATATGTTTTGCTTTTAGAAGCATATATAAGTATAAAGAAAATTACAAACTTTTCTCTTTTGCCGATACGTTATAAATGTGAATTTTTAGCTTTATTTTCAAATAAATTACTCAATAATTTAAAATAAACAGAGTTTTTTGACAAATGATGATGGGTAATGATAAATACATTCTAAAATAAATCAAAACCGAACAGTTCTTTGTTCAGCAGAGAAATGATTACAAAAATATCATATCTATAATTGTTTATCTTATTACATACGACATTCACTGGTTTATTCTAAATAATCTATGATTGGTGTTTGTGTCATAGTTTGTTAATTACTATTGTTTAAATGATGTCGCAAACCGATAAGAGCTCTTTTAAATTTACTAATGTGTGTTAATATTAATACAATGCTAAAAATGAAACAAATGCGCTTTATTTTTAGCCTTAAGAGATAAACTTAAAGTTTACGCATGTCATTAAATGTTATTTTAACAAAAGACTTTAAAGATTTGTAAATTTAAAATGATTTATGAGATTGCTTTGATTTAAGATATGTTGCTTAGCAAAGGATTTTAATACATATTCTGTCATGTTCAAACGGCTGAGTTTTTATTGCTGAGATTAAATTTAGTTCTGCAAAAAGTGGATTATTATTTTTTTTAATTTCATTTTGTTGCACGTTTAAGATCTGTAGTGTGGAGCGCTGAACATCAAATGCAAAAAAAAAAAAAAAAACGTTAGTTATTTGCTTCTGTTAAAGAGCAAATAAAATAAATATTTCAACGAAACATTGGTGCGATAACACTCTGACATTGCAATCTCTAGATCTGTCGAAAATTCTATGAATCTACAAATTTTCATTTTTTCCAATTTTACAATTAGGTAATCTTAGAGTCAGCTGTTGAAAGACTGACAGACTAATATCTCAACGAACTATATTTTTGTTCTGATATTTTGTAAAATTATTTTTAAAGTTAGTTAAAATGTTGGTTAGTTAACTGTAAAAAGTTTATAAATCATCTCTAATCATCATTATTATTTTTTTTGCCTTTCTAAAATGAGGTAAATTTGGAGAACATTGTTTAAGGGATTGCAAACAAATATCCAAATGAATCACTCCTTTGATCTGCTATATAATAAAAATAAGTTTAAAGTTAGTTCTGCAAAAAATTCTTTAAATCTATAATTATTATTATTATTACTTTTGACATTTTAAAATGGGGTAAAATTAGAGAACATTGTTGAAGGGATTGCAAACCAATATCCAAATGAATCGTGCCTTTGATCTGCTATATAATAAAAATATGTTTAAAGTTAGTTCTGTAGAAAATTTTATAAATCTACAATTATTATTAACATTATTTTCGGCATTTTAAAATGACGTAAAATTGGAGAACATTGTTGAAGGGATTGCAAACCAATATCTTAATGAAACATGCCTTTGATCTGCTATATAATAAAAATATGTTTAAAGTTAGTTCTGTAGAAAATTCTATAAATCTACAATTATTATCATTATTTTTGACATTTTAAAATGACGTAAAATTGGAGAACATTGTTGAAGGGATTGCAAACCAATATCTTAATGAAACATGCCGTTGATCTGCTATATAATAAAAATATGTTTAAAGTTAGTTCTGCAAAAAATTCTTTTAATCTATCATTATTATTATTATTACTTTTGACATTTTAAAATGGGGTAAAATTAGAGAACATTGTTGAAGGGATTTCAAACCAATATCCTAGTGAATCATGACTTTGATCTGCTGAATAATAAAAATATGTTTAAATTTAGTTCTGTAGAAAATTCTATAAATCTGCAATTGTTAATATTTTTTTGCCATTTTGAAATGAGGTTTACTTAGAGATCACTGTTGATGGAACGGAAGGTCAGTATCTTAATGATTTATGCGTATGGCTTGCTAGGTCATAAATTCATGTTTAAATTTATACGTTAGGACTTAAAATGCATAGTGTTGATACATACTGATTGACTATAGCAGTTGTTTTATGTAATAGTCTATAAATTATGCGTACAAAATATTGACAATAAAGTAAAGTCCATAAGTTAAGGAATTGTTTTTCAAGCATGGTAAACTTAGAAGGCAATGTTAAAGAAATAGCAGTTAATATTTTTTAAATGAGTTATACCAAAAAATAAGCAAAACTCTACGATGAATCTATGCAACGTTGTCACTCGGGATTTAATAATATTTAAAATTGTATGAGAATAGTTGGTTTTTAGTTTTATACAATTCATGTTGTAGTTGCACTGCGGTACATCAATATTGAATATTATTCACAATCGTTTCTCCATTAAATTAAATTTGTAATTTTTTTTAAAACTATAAATTTTTCATTTTTTTAAAACTATAACTTCTAACTTTATTTAAAATTTATCTAAATTTTGAAATGATTAATTCTAATAACATGGCGACATTTAAAATTCCAAAATACTTTCCATTTTTTGTAGCTTATAACATCGTCATTTATGTTTCATTTTAAATGCCAGATTTAAAAATGTATTTAATCAGAATTTTTTAATTGAGTCAGTTTAAGGAAATTTTCATTTGTATAACATTCGGGAAATTAAAAAAGAGAAAAAAAGAAAGAAAAAAGTTGGTGTAGAGAGCATTTGAGCTCCGAGGATAACGCAAAGTTTGAATTGGAAATTTGAAGAACAAATAGCTTATTTGGAAAACCAGTTATATAGGAAAGCTCTTTTCAATTCTTTATTGACGCTTTTAAACATCAATAAATAAGTAAAATTTTATTTGAAACACGGAAAGAAAAATCAATGAGTATTTTCGAAACTAAAATACACAAAAAAAAAAAAAAAAAATAAAAAAANAAAAAAAAAAAAAAAAAAAAAAAAAAAAATATATATATTTTCGACTTTAGTTTTCGTTATTTCAAGTCTGCGGGTTCGATCCCCGGCCCAGACACCGGATTTTCGGGTTACAGAAAATCCTCAGCGGCCATGTCGTATGATTATGCGGCATGTAAAAGATCCCTGGAGTGCCTCATTGGCTCTTGGCATTTCCGGCAAAATTAAATTTCTAGTGCACTTTAGCATCCAAATAGAGTCTCGGTGCTGCCATCTAGTGTGGCAGAAACTAGACGTCCAAATTAACATGACCAACGGTATCTCACCCATTGTGGTGGTCCTGAAAGAGTGGATATCACCTCTGGAGAACGCACTAGGTCTGCTCATCGGCAAGACCGATTGTGCAGCTCATTGGAAATGAAAAAAAAAAGTTTTCGTTATTCAACTAAATTATGTAAAATAATTCCTTTTACACTAAAATCTATTAAATGTTTGTAACTTACATTTTTGAGACGGCGCCACTAGCAATTCAGTATCCTTATTCATTGTTTCTTGAATGAATGAAATGTTTCTTAGAATGTATATCTTGCTTAATGACATGAGTTTATAAAAAATTAATTTGATACAAATTTTTTATCTTTCTATATAACTGCGCTTGTGTTTTTATCAGTGAAAGGAATTTACCTTGATAACGAATTTCGAATCGTCTATTTTTTATCAAATGAAATATTGAAATCAAACGTAGATAAGATTAACAAACTGAAAGAGTTAAAGCTGCGTTAAAATTAATTACATAAGAAGTATTGGAACAAGAGGCAGGTAAACAGTTTTTGCTTAAACATCGTCGTAAAGTGCTGTGAGTCATGAGTCAATCCATGAGTCAATTTTAATTACTCGAGGGGTGACCTCAAATATGCTAATTAATTAGTGCAGACGATATTTTAAGTTATGAAATCGGACACAAAAACGTATTTTCTCGGAATAAACATAACATTTTTCGTTGGATGATGATCTCTGACCCATAAAATACAGTGAGTGGAAAATATGGCCCCAATAGTTTGGTCAGGATAGTAATAAAAAATTTGGCCACCGTTAATGTTGATTTTGCTTTTTGCGTATTTCCCCATATATCAAGAAGTTTTTAAGCGAATTGAAAAAATTATACACACATTTATAAAAATTGGAATATGGACAATCCATGCAAAAATAACTTTTAGCAAATATTTATTATTTTTTTTAATATTTTATTTAATAATAGTCAAAAACATTTTGAATTGTGAAGTATATAGTTATTTACATCATTTCAAGGAATGTAATATTGCATGACAAAATACGAAATTTGAGAAAATCATTCTAAAAAATCCTGAGTAATCGAATTTTAGCGAAGTAGTATTCTTTTTTCCTTAAAAAAAAGTTCTTAAAAAGTTGGTAAAAGTTTTCTTAAAAAAGTTTTCGAGGTAGGGCAACATACGCAACATGTAAAATTAATATTAAGCGATCCAAACTAGGACCATTCTTTTGACCAAACTAGAGGGACCATGTTTCCTAGATTCCAGCTGCTTCCTATTATTTGGGGGTCAGAAATCTGAATCCGACGGAAAAAAGGTATATTTATTCAGAGAAAGTACGTTTTTATGTCTGATTTCGTAACTTAAAATATAGGCTGCATTAATTTAATATCGTATTGGAAGTTGCCCTCTCGAGCCAATAAGATTTAGTTTAAGAAAGTGAAGATTTGATCATCAACTCAAAAGTTATTTAAGGTGATCCTGTTTTTTTGCGAACAGTACATTTACAAGTTGCTCTCGAAAAATGATACTTTTCAAGCAATTTTCTGATTGCCGCAAAATTGCAACGAATCAGGCTGCATTATAAAAGCATTATAGCAAAACACAATGCTTTGTCACAGTTGTTTTTCTTTATTTATCATAGTAAAACTGCGATAAACCAGAATGGTAATACTTTATGCAACAGCTACTTAATTATTAAAAACAAAACACATGCTTCATGAAATCAGCAGTATACAGAACGCAACGTATATATTTTTTATGATAGTAATGAAAAACTTTTATGATCCATTTCTATTAAAAAAGAATGGAGTTTCATTCTGTTAAAAACGTATATCATGGATTTCGTAGAATGAGATGACAATTTCTAGCGTTCCTTGCAAACGAAATCGAAACAGGACTAAAAAAGGCCTTGGGCCGAAATGTTATGGACTGGTTATAATTATAAGGTACTGGATCTATATTTAAGGCTATTATCGAATTTCACACAGAAACATTATTAGTGTACTAGAACAGTGGTTCCCAATCCATGGTCCATGGTTAGCATGGTAATAGCTCCAGCAGCGTTGGGTAGTCTATGAAAAGCGGCTATAAATTCGAGTGTAAAAATTATATAAGATTGTTCTCTTATGAAACCAATGGCTTAGGCCAGTTAAAAAATGAGGCATAAAACCTGAACGAATTAAAACATGGAAATGAACATTAGAGAAGAGATTCTTCATGACTTGCTGTTATGCAGATCACGTTGTATCATATTGCTCAGAAATATAATGACTTAAGAGTTAAGTTTAGCAAACAGGACAATTTCTGAATTCTTTGTAATCTGATGCAAATAATAACGGAACAATGATTATTATATAATTTTTTTTATATTCAATTGAAGAGTCTGATGGAAGGAGACATGTTGAGAGCAGATTAGTGAGATAGAAAAAAAAATTGCATTAGAATGTAGAGAAACATTATTTTTTTCCGTTGAAACGCTCGTAGACGATCATAGCATGGCTCTAAACACTTTGTGGAAGAATATACTGCACAACATGTTCTTCCTATATGAGTATGGTATGACGTGTCTTCAATCTCTTCACTTCGCATTGCAGCATATTATGTTCCAAGACAGAAATCATGCATTAGCTAAATTGATGCGCAAGCTCAGAGCTGATTTTTTTTAAAGGAAAGTGATCCAGTCCAGTTAATAATAAAAACATAAAGTAAAAAATAAATAAAAATGATGAACATCGGAGATGAGATTCTTCAAGACATGGCGCCATATTTTGTGCTGTTATCAATATCTTGTTTGCTGCTCGATTGTTGTATGTGTTTAGAATCCACTGTTTTATCAATTTCAGGCACTTTAGCCCATGGTTGTCGTTCAGCTGATGCAAATAAGAGGAAAGCTATTCCACCCGCAACGTTGAGACCTGCTGATATGTAAAAAACTGATCCCCACTGTTGTATACTGGAGTTCTAAAACAAATTAAGGAAACTAATCAATGTTTAAAAATTAGTATTATATTCATAGTTTTAAGAGATTATTTATTTATGAAAAAAAAAATAAACGTAGGTAATATATTGTAATTCTTAAAAAACATGTTTTATAGAAAATGTTACTAATTCTACAGAAAAAAGTTATAAAAATTCCATTGTGATTGTCATTAAGAATAGATGAAATGACTGCATACAGAATAAAAATATTCCTAGACATTTTTTACATATTCTAAGTGTTTTGAACCGTTTTGCTATATTTAATGAGTGCAATCAGTAAGAAATTGTATAGAAATCATTGGAGATATTTGTAAACGGTCAGCTTGTTAATTTGTTCGGTTTTCAATGAACTTGCTTAATTTAACCACAAGTGTATTATTCAATTCTCCGAACTTACAACTTTTCAAGCAATATTTGTTCTTCAAAATACAGTAGCATGTTAAATAAAAGTAGCTCTCGAATCAAGGTTCATTATTTAATTAATTAAAAACCGTAAACGCAACCAAAAACACTTGCGCGCATATCAGGAAACATTTTGGAAATTAATTCCCTTAATTTTTCTATGGAGAAACAATTTCTTGAATTTATTCTTAAATTCTTAAATCCCTAACAAAAAATTTTGAGTTTTAAAATTATATAGATTTTTACCGTTTCACGAAATATTTCAGAAATTAGTATCTGGACTTGAGTATCTGGAGTTATTATCTGGAGTTATTATCTAAATTAGTATCTGGAGTATCTCAAAATCTTTATCTATTTTTCAAAGGAACATTGTTTTATATACAGACATTCTGGAGTTTAGCTGTAAAAGCATGTTTAAAAATGAGAATTAAAATCTCAAGTTTTAATTGAAATTGTAACAAAGTATAAACATTTCAAATGGTGTTTTGAAAATTAATTTCACGAAGTTGTGTCGGGAAACCTATATGGATTTAAGCGTCAATACTTTCTACAAGAATCATTATTTTATGGTCCAAGAATCATTATTATATGGCCGTACACTATGGAGTTGCGCATAACTGTCGAATTATGGAAAAAAATAGTTGTGATTCCCTTATAAAATGTTAGTTCATATTTGAGAACTGCTTACTTTTTGTTCCAGAAGAACTCCAGCAACCATTGGTGCAAATATACCAGATATGCTACCAATGCTGTTCACTATTCCAAAAAGTGTCGCTGAAATTTAAATTTATATAAAAATTTAATACACCATTTTCAATATTTAAAATATTTTAAATTTCTTGAATATTTGTAATTAATACATAAAATTTGAATTGATAGATTTAATGTAAAAAAAGTCGTTGAACAGCAGACCCAATTTTGGGTTTACGACTACTAATCAAAGCTCAACCCCGTCTCAAATCAATTCAAATCTACAATCAAACTAATCTCTTTTAAGACAATTACAGAAAAATTTCGCAATATTTTGAAGATTTAATAGTCACCCTTGAAAAGCTTATTGGGAAATATAAACTTTTTGTCGTTGTTGTTGTTGTCTTATGCTACTTGTCAGTACTCACAGGCCTATTTTAAGGTAGAGGAGTGAGCTTCTTCTTGTTTGCCAGTGGCGGCATCTATGGCAAAGAATTCGATTTCTGCTAACACACCAGTCATAGCCTGTTTTACAGGGAGGACGCATTCACACAACATCTAAATATCCGCAGATCGTAATTATGACCTGAACTGAAGCAAGATCAATCTCCGATCCAGTACCTCCAGAGGTAATAAACTTTTTTGTGTGGCTATTTTGATAACTATTGAGATAGTTGTTTGCGAAGTTTTTTCTGCTTTTAGCCTAAAATTTCACAATGCAAAACACTTTCTATATCAATTCGAAAAAAAAAAAAAAAAAAAAGCCACAGTTTTGCGAAAAGGGAAAGTGCTGGTAATCTGGTTTGTAATATTTAAAGTTATTTCGACGTTGCATTGTTTAAGATCTAAAGTGTATTTAGGAGAATAAACCGCTTCGAATTTTTTATTTTTAAAAAGTTGAACATTATTTTAATTACAGTCCTTTTGATGTTCAGTTAGTTTTTCAAAACAAAATAGTGTACAAAGTGGTCAAAAATTTCCCCGACAAATTCGGAGGGATGAAAAGACATGGGAAATTGAATATGATGTCGTAAACATTTAGGATTTTGAGAGAAAAATACTGCGAAGCATTTTTGGTGGAATAAGTAAAAACGGTACCTGGTTTAGAAGATAAAACACGGAACTCTACAAAGCATATAAAGAACCTGATGTCATTAAATTTATCAAAATTCAAAGGATTAAATGGGCAGGCCACATTATAAGAATGGAGGATAGCAGGACAACCAAAAAAGTTTTCTGTGCCAGGCCAACAGGTACAAGAAAAAGAGGACGACCAAACCTAAGATTTTTAGACTGCCTTGAAAAGGACCTACAAATTTTAAAGATAATTAACTGGAGAACCTTGGCTAAGGGAAGAATGTCTAGGCATAGGCTTGTTGAGAAGGCCAAGGTCCATCCTGGGCTGTCGTGCCAATGAGAAGAAGAAGAAGAAACATTTTGGATTATTTTTCCAAATTTAAGGATTAAAATTAAAATAGGTGTTTTTACTAACTCATTATGCAATAATTTATGACAAGCATTTTGTTATTGGTTTCTTAATTTATTAACCGTTTTATAATTATGAAACAGTAAGTAATTGTTTTTATTATAAGCTTTGAGTAAAACTTTTTTTTGTGTTAGTCTCGTCAAATGGTTTTTGCTCTGGATTTTACAGTAACCAAAATTTAGTATGGAGTTGCAGTGGCGACCGATCAAAATAATTAGATTTAAATTCAAACCCCATTAGTAAAACGAGTTACTTAATCGGTAAATCATAAGTGTCAACACAATAAAATATTTCGGATTCAACTGAATAACTTCTAATAATATAGATGTATAATGAGTAAATGGTTTAAAATATAAATGATAGTAGGGGAGAGTGGGGTCAATTGTAACAGGGTACGATTGTAACAGAGCAAGTATTTCGAGTGTCGGGTTCTAGATTTGGTTCCTAGGTGGCGCACAAGGTGTATTTAGTAAATCTACATGTACACCTCTGTTGGCAACCATTTTTATGTACTTTTGAAAGAGTTACATCACAAAAGATATTTACGCTACGTAAGTACTTTTTTTTTGGTATTAGAATATTATATTGTAACAAAGTAATTTTGTTTAAACAAATAAAAATTATTAACCGAATATGTAAGTGGCCACCTTAATTAACATTTCAAAAAAAAAAGATTAGTTTTGTTAATTAACTAGCATTGTTTCTTACAAATGAAGCTGAAATGGCGTCTTGGGGACGATTGTAAGAATAAGTAAAGGGACGATTGTAACAGCTGAAAATAAATAATCTTATGTTTACAAACCATTACTTAACTCTTTAAGAACCACCAATAGTTTCCTATATCATTTATATTATGTTGCATGTGCATTATTTTATTTGTTACCTTTCACAGCATAAATTAAAATTTTCAACCCCTTAAAGTTAAAAGTTTAACCCTTTAGGTCTCTGCTCATTATTATTTTTACTCCTAAAATATCACTACTATTTTGATCAATAAAAAATATATCACAACTATGATGATATGTATAATTAACTATGTCTTAGTTGAATTTATGAACTGTTACGATTGACCCCGTAAGTGGGGACAATTGTAACAAGTGCACGACTGTCAAAAATTCTTAATAACTAATATAATAACATTTAAAATAAGGTTTTTTTTTCTAGTAGAGGATAGTCTACTTTACTCGTCTGTCAATTAATACTAATAACATATTGGATTTTTTGCTACTTAAAAATAGTTCAGTAAAAAATGTTACAATTGACCCTACTCTCCCCTATAGTAATCACGGTGATTAGTAAGCGAAATGAATAGGGGGTGGAGAGATTTAGATGCGTACAAAAATATTTGGAAAAGCTATGATTACCAGCATGATGAGGAGCCATGTCAGCTGTGATCGAATTGATACCTCCTCCACCAAAACCTTGAAAACTCATGGCTGCAATCAAGAGGAAGATAACTAAAACATGATTGCAACCCATTAGGGTTATCAAAGACATACACACTGCTGGTCCTATCATTGCTGAAAAAAAAAGCACACATTAGCTTTAATTTCACAATTTTTCAGTACTCAAGTTTAATTAAGCTTCTTATTATTTCCCCATAAAAAGTAACTTTTTTTATTTTCAGCTATATGGGGGCAAGATGATTAATGGCGTGAGGTAGAATTGCAAATATGTAAATATAAATTAAGATATAGCTATTTTAAAGTACCTATCTCGTAAAGTACACATTTCTTAAATTACCTAAGAATTCTTGGTAAAATACGTACAGATATCACTCAAAATCTTTGCAATTTTTCCTACTAGGTGGGGTAAGTTGACTAATATATAATAATATAAATCAAGTTAAGTTTAATTAACAGAATTGCAGAGAATTGAATTTTGAGAGTTAATTGGTTAAAAAAGCACGCATAAGCACTCAAAATACGACAGATTACCTAAACTCAAAAGAGAAAAAAAATTTAAGAATGGGGAACGAAAATTCGGAAAACTATGATTATTAAAATTCATTCAGAAACCCCATTTTTGGGATTTATTTTTCACTTCACTGTCATCCCAGCCGAAACAGTGAGCATTTGCTTAGAATTCCACAGAAGCACTGACATCAAGATATTTTAATTTATAGTTGACGGTGAACAGCTGATCCAATTTCGTGTTTACGACTGTCAATGCTCAACTCTTTAGCCTTGTAATTTAAAACCCAATCCAGAAGACAAGGGAACTTCCGGCTCAAGCATTGGGAGAAGCAAGCATTCGTGGAAGACTTTTTGATAGAACTAACCTGCATTTGCGTTGCATGGAGAGGAAAACCACGAAAATCTCCCATGGTTAGCTTGACGGTAAGGAGACTCTAATTCATGACCCGTCTACCACTGAGGATATTTTACGTTATCACTGTGGTGGGTGCGAGTTGGATGCAGAATTCGTATAGACCAGCCATCACTGAGATTCGAAGTTAAGATTTAAAAATTTTGAGATCAATGGCGTAATGGTGGAATTGGGGGACAACATTGCGCATAAACCACCTTTACGTCTCAGCAATCTAGTACTAAGCGATGTAACGCTAGGTGGGTTTTAAGACCACACTGGAAACAGAACTTCGATCCTTAACAACGACAGTTAAGTACTTTGAAAACTGTTTCTTCGCGACTAATGAGAAACACGACGGCTAATGAAAATTGGACATTTATCACAACAAAGCATGAATACTGATTTTAACATTAAAACACAGCTTTTAAATACTTACCAAATAGTTGAAAACCTTTTCTGACATTTGTTGCGGAAAAACGCTTCTTCGTTCGCAAATAATCTGATGCATATCCAGTGAGGAATAGTGTAATGCTGGAGCATAGGTAAATCATTGAGTTTATCAGACCATTCTGTAAAATAATAATGTTGTCAATTGAGGGAAAAATAGAATCCAATATTTTGTAAATAGCTCCAATAAAATGTTTTTCATGGTTTCAATTATATTTCAATCCCACTTGACAGTTTGATATTTTTTAAATTGAGGGACCCTAATGCAAAAAAGTCCAAAGTCTCCAAATATTTTTGTATTTTTTTATGTATCCAGGTAAATCCTATTTTTTTCTCAGTTCATTGCATTTTTGAGTGTGGTCAGTGCTGCTTTTATCAGGGAAAAAATATACCGAACAGAAGCACAAATCTCTTCCTATGTACAGTGTGGTAAAAAATCTACATGTACCTATAGTCTTTTTTTAAATTTCGTATGACTTGTGCCAACAATTTGCAATTCTGAACTTACCTTGTTTTTGCACTTAACTCCTCAATGGGGAATTTTTTTTCAAAGTTTCAAATCGCACATTTTGTATAGTTATTGTCATACACGCTAGATTTACAAACTTGAAAACATTGTGGGGTTCATAATTTGAACATAAGAACCCATTTCACCCAAGAAGAACTAAGAATATCAGGACTATTTAAAATTACTTGTATACTCTTTAACTAAATGTCAAATCTACATTGTTTAAATGTTCGTCGACCATTTTAAGTTTATCAACAATTTTAAGTTAGGTGTAAAAGTAATAATGTCAAATCTACAATACGGTTTAATAAAGTTCAATCCATATTCTACAGAGAAATTAGAAACATAGCTTATACATGTATAGAGGAAAAAAAATTGTCTTTAAAGAGAGTAGTAACTAGAACAATGAAAGTGAGCATTTATCACAAATGTTATGTGAATAAATGTAAGTGTGAAACAAATGTGAAAGATCGAATTTAGGTGTTATTAGACTTTTAATATTATTTTAAGATCCAGGTTTCGATTAGTAAGTCAGACGTAGAACTAACAACTCGGGAATAAAAGAATTAAGAAATTGAAATTACGTTTTCAATTGGTATGTGTAGCACCACTTGCAAATAAGTTGGAAGTTTGGTTAACAATGTCAGGAAGCCCCAAGCTGATGTAAAAATAGAAAATGCGACAGTCCAAACTGGTAGGCTGCGTAGAACATGTTTCCAAGGTATGGGCAACTAAAAACATAAAATAAACGAATTTAAAAGATAAAATGTACGCAATGTTTTCTTTTGTATATGACAAAGAGACCTACTTTTTGATCTGCCGTCATATGGACATGGTTTTTTCTAATATATTCCAGCTCTTCTTTTGAGATTCGCGGGTGATCAGACGGTGAGCTGTAAGCCAGACAAGCCCAAAATAGGAACCAAATACAGCCCAGACTGCCTGTTGAAGAAAATCATTGCACAGTTATTTCCTAACAAAGCAATATACTTGAAAAAGCAACAGTTTCTAAGAGTAGCAGTTACTGTGGAACTTCCTAGCCATCGGAAATTTGGCTTAGATGAAAAGTTAGTGGAGGATGGTTTTAAGGGACTTTACTGAAAAAAGTTGAGATTTCTAGTGGAAGTTTAACTATATAACATTGATTTATTTTGTCTAGTAATTAAATTTTAAGGATCTGAGTGTTTGACACAAAAATATTAGTGAGTAATATACCTTCCTTTTGGCAGCTTATTTGTATGACAACTAGGACTGGGCGATATTAGAAATTATATATCGTGATATATCGTCAGTTTTGCATCGCGATATAGCGATGTATCGCGATATAGTATTTTTGAATTTCATTTACTTTAAGGCACAGAAAGTCAGATTTCTATCAAGACTTCATACGCATATTGATTTAAATCAATTTATAAATTTGAAAATATATATGTTTTGCTAAAGAAAGATATTAAATAAATTGACTAAGATGTACAAATCTTACTTAAAATATTTATTGAAAAAATGTGTGTAGATACAGAATGAAATATTTGCACTTCTTTATCGTTTATAAGGTATAAGCAGTCTTAATTTAA